GGGGCTTCTTCCTGCTTTCCCTTTCACCTCCCTGCATTGTGCCTACATATGCAAATTAACCACCATTTTGTTGTCAGTTAACTGCCATCTGAGTTGGCAGTTAATTTGCATATAGCCCTGATTAGCCAATGAAAAGGGTATCGTCGTACGCCAATTACCATTTTTCTCTTTTATTATATAGGATTCCAGAAATGGAACTTTCCAGAGTCAAGTTTAGATGGAATCTCAGAATAGCTGTGTATTTGATACCATAATTTATCTCTTTGTGTCTTATTTTCCCCATCTTAAAAATTAAGATAATGATAAAACCTCTCTCAAAGAGTATTAGGGAAGAATTTAATGAGATACATTATGTATCTGTTAGTAAATTCTTTTTGAGTGTTAAATATTATTATTTCGCTGTTTTTTTCTGATGATTGACTTTTGCAAAATATAATTGCATGAGCAGAATTTATGTGTATGGATTACTTTATTTTGTATCTATATATTTTATTATGTAAGATCTGAAATAGTGAAACTTGTTTAAAGTTAGTAGAATTGTGTATCTATTTGATAATTCTATTTTAAAAGTATTTCTAATGTATACCAATTCTTCCCTCGCAACTTAATTCATTTTGTGTGTTGTTGTTTGTAAATACTATTTACTAAATTGTCATTATTTCTATTTTCTTATGCAGGACTAAAAGATCTCAGATTGCTATAACTGAAGGTATATTTGAACTTCCAAATCTTACAATTCAAGCTACAAGAGCACAGACACTTTTGCTGCAAGCAATATATCAAAGTTGGTCTCATATTGGAAGTGTCAGCTCTTCAGTAGTGAATGAAGCTTTGATGAATGAAGTTTTCCAAACTATAGGTAAGAGAACAGTCTTCTTGATGAGTATATGGAAAATTCTTATTAGTTGTGACTAATATTTTATCATTCAAATCTATATTTATAACTTGCTCAACTTAAATTGTGTAGTGTATTTAGCCATTTAGTTGTGTTCCCTGCCACCGATTTCTGGATATCTATATTATAAAAGGCCAGTGGCTGTAACGCCATAACACTGTGACTACCAAACGACCAATCCCCAGGAGGTGCATGGAGCACCTCTTGGTCCCTCCACCCAGCCCATGAGCTGCTTGCTGCTCACATGGTGTGGCAGGACTCGAGGCTCATGCGGTGTGGTGGCTCACACACTGTGGGTCTGGGGTCCTGCCGGTGCAGCGGGTCTGGGTCCCGCGTAATTTCGCGCTCTGGGTCTCTAGTATTTTATAATTGCAAGAGATTATTTTTTACCTACTCCTTGTACAATTGATGCTTTGGCCTTACATAGATAACTTTTGAGGGGATCAATGTGTATGTTTGAAATAATAAATAAATCAAGCACAAATACAATATGTTTGATTATGCTCGTAGAATGGATGAAAATACTAGTACTTGATCATAATACTTTAAGAGTTGGTAAGCAAATTATCCTTTTTGTGTGCACATGATGTTTTGAAATGCATCGTGGAATAGTTACTATAGTCAAACTAATTAATATCTATGTCTCCTCACATAGTTACAAATCTTCCTGTGGTGAGAGTACCTGAAATGTACTCTTAGCAAAACCAGTATATAATACATTATTGCTGATTGTAGTCATCATGCTGTACATTAGATCTGTAGAACTCATTCATCTTACATAACTTTGTAACCTTTGACCAACATCTCTCATTTATCCCTACCACCTTGGCTCTGGTAACCATTGTTCCATGTATTTGACATTTTTAGATTTCACATATACTAGTAAAAGAGATCACATAGCATTAGCCTTGATAGCCAAAAGGTGGAAACGACACAAATGTCTATAACCGATAAATGTACAATGGAATATTATTCAGACATAAAAAGGAATGAAGTACTGATACATGCTATAATGTGGAGAATCTTGAAAACAGCATGCTAAGAAGTAGAAGCCAGATGTAAAAAGTCACATTTTATGATTTCATTTATATGAAATGCTTAGAGCAGGCAAATCTGCAGGGACATATAGTAGATTAATGGTCCAGAGTGTGAGGAGAAAGGGGAATGGAAGTGATTGCTAATGGATATGAGTTTCTTTGGGGGTAATGAAAGTGTACTGAAATTAGATCGTGGTGGTGTTTTTATGATTGTGAATATGCTCATTTCCACTTAATTGTACGCTTTAAAAAGGACAAATTTTATGTTATATAAATTTTGTTTCATTCAGAAAAAGTTTTTGAATTGATGAATATTTAAGAAGACTAGATATGTGTTATAGTCTGAATGTTTGTTTCCACCATAATTCATCTTTTGAAAATTCTAAGGCCTAGTGTAATGGTATTAGAAAGTGGGGTCTTTGAGAGGTGATTTGATGATGGAGGGTGGAGTCCTCATGAATGAAATTAATGTTCTTCTATAAAGAGGCCAGGGAGAGCTTCCTTGCGCCTTATACCGTGTAAAGACACAGAGAGAAGTCAGCAGTCTGCAACCTGGAAGAGGTTCTCACCAGAACCTGACCATGTTGGCACCCAGCCTCCATCCAGAACAGTGAGAAATAAATTTCTGTTGTTTATGGGCTACCCCAGATTGTGATATTTTGTTATAGTAGTCCAAGTGGACCAAGACATTGTGGTATTGCTTTTCATATGGCCATTATTGTATGTGGAATTACTTTTTGGATAAAATCTTTTCATTTAGATCTTTATCCACAAGGCCTACTACAGTGAGGCCTTTATTGCTGATACTATTTAGCACTGTGAATTTATCTAATTTAATTTTTTGCTCATCAAATTTCTGTTTCCTGTAATGTTCTCTCCAGGGTTTTTTTGGTTTATTGTCTCACAATAATAATCTACCTTTTTTATTTTAATTTTTTTTTGTGTCTGCAGGCCTAGCTCCACAATTTATATCAATAAGCAGGTGGTGATTTTAATTACTTTTATAATTTTCCTTTTTTTAAACCCAACTAAACCCCTATTTCTTTTTCTAAATTTATCAAGTGGACTGTGCTATTAAAAAACATTTTATTTAAAATTTCTTATTCTGAAACTATTTGCCTTAACAGAATGCAGTCACAGGTATTAAAAACAATCAAAGAAGTAACTATAAAATATGTGATTCATAACCTGATGGTCTATCATTGAGAAACCTAAAATGTGTAGAACTGATTTGTTGCAGATTAGGGGAATTGAGGAAAATGGAATTCTGTTAGGATGTTTTCACCTCTGCTGAGGAAGTTTATTTTTTATCAAAGCAGCTGTAAAATTTATTTACTTATTTTTTATATTAGACACTGTATTGCAAGTACATTTAAAATAAGCAAGATATAACATTTATTTTATTGACATATGTCTTCCAAAGAAGCAGCTGTAAAACTTATAATAGATGAATTAAAAGGATCAGCTAAAATAATTTTAGTAAGCCATATTTCCAAATGCCCAGTTATCTTATATTTTCTTTTGCTAGCCAAAGTCTTATTTTGTTCATTTTATTCTTGATGTTGTGTTTGTAGTATTGTCTCCAAAATTTCTATCTTATTAAGATCCAGGAAATATATATTTAAGGTGTAAGGTTTAGCATTTTATTATCTTGCATCTCTGGGCTATTAATAGACAGTACTTAGCACTTTTAAACTTTGTTTAATATGTTTGGTTTAAGCATGCGATCCTTTGCTTTACATTATAGCTAGTTCTCATTTACTACATTAATTGATTATGTAGACTGTGTACATTCTTGAGGCTTTCAGACTTATATTCTCATAATTTGTGGAAGATGAACCATTGTTCTTCTGTTCCAAAGTTGACTATAAGCCAAGTACTAGTACTTCTCTTCAATGTTCCTGCCTCAACTTCTATAATAATTTGTGTCTCTAGCCTACCTTCCTACATCTTGCTCTCTTATTATTGATCATTACTAACACACAACATCCAGTGTTTTTTCCTATTCTTCACTCTAGTGGCTTTTCTCTCTGTCCTTATTGAAATATAATTCTATTTTGATAATACTGTCCTACATTATTCTTTGTGCTTTGATAACGAGTGCTTTACCACAAGTTAAAATCAGTCTTTTCCTTTGGATTTAATACTATACTTGTCTTCTTGATCAACAAAAAATTGCATTTTTCCACATTCATGTCTTTGCCTACCCTCCCCCTCTCCGCCTTTTCCCTCTCAAACCAGAAATGTCTTACCTTGGTTTCTCTCCATCTTCTCATTCTTTTTGTCCTCTCTGAAAACAGCTTTATTGAGCTATAATTCACATACCATACATTCACCCTTTCAGGTATACAGTATTAAGCGTATAGTGTATTCAGAGTTCTGTGTCCATCACCAGTCTTATTTTAGAGTCTTGTCATTACCCTAAAAAGTCCCACATTCTTTAGCCATCACTCCTGAGCCATTTATGCCCCAGCCCTAGTCAACACTAATCTTCTTTTTCACTATGGATTTGCCTATTCTGGACACTCAAATACAGTCATTGTGACTAAATTCTTTCACTTAGTGTACTGTTTTAGAAGTTTGTCCATTGTAGCTTGTATCCATACTTCATTTCTCTTTTTGTCGAGTAATATTCCATTGTGTGTATATACCACATTTTGTTCATCCACTCATCAGATGGTGGACATATGGATTATTTGTACTTTTGACAGTTATGAATATTGTTGCTACCAATATTCATCTACAAGTTTTTGTGTGGACATATAATCATGTTCGTATTTCTCATGGATGTATATCTGGGTGTAGAATTGTGGGGCCATATGGTAACTCTATATTTAACTTTTTGAAAAATTGCCAGACTGTTTATACCATTGTATATTCCCACCTGTGCTGTATGAGAGTTCCAGTTTTTCCACATCCTCAACATACTTTTATTACCTTTCTTTTGGTTGTAGCCATCTGGGTATGAAGGAAGTAGTGTCTCATTGTGGTTTGGATTTGTATTTCCCTCATGGCTAATGAGGTTGAGGATCTTTTCCTATGCTTACTGACTATATATTTTTTGTGTGGAAAAATGTCTACTAAGGTCTTTGTCTACTTGGCCTATGTATCCTTTTGTTTTAAGTTGCACAATTGTTTATATTCGAATACAAGTCTCTTATCAGATATATGGTTTATAAACATTTTCTGCAGTCCTGTGGTTTGTCTTTTCACTTTCCTGATGATCACCTTCTGTCTAAATTTTCTCTCATTTGTACCTTCAAGTACATCTTTACATTGGACCTTGTTATCATTTAGAATTGGTTTGTTTCTTTTTTGTTGTTGATCCTACTTCTTGGTCTTTATCATTATATTCTTTCAAACTTTTTTTTAAATCACAGAATCCTAGCTATACTTATTACTCAGCTTGATTCCCATGGCCAACAGTTTTAGTGATGGTAACCGTCTAGATTCATTTCTTCTCTTTTTATCTTTGCTTTCTCCATGCCTATTCTTCAACATGTTCTGCTTGCAGTAAGAAATTTTTGTATGTGCTGCATCTACCACCACCCAAACAACACTGTTATCTGAACTGAATTTTTAATAGTTTTTGGCATTTTCAGAAAAGTTCACTTGTAATTGAATTTCTATTTCCCATTTTATTAATTGCAGACTGGGGTTTGAAATAAACTTTGTTGGTTACTACTAAGAGCTTGAAAAGAATCAAGTAGGATCAAATAGAATGCATATAATGTAGTAAGAGAAACTTCTATTATGTTTATTATATTTATAAACAGGAAAGATGTACTTTATTAGTACATGCAATTATTGCTCTAATTTTTTTTTGTGTGTGTGATAACAGGCATTAAAATTTTTTGTGACTCCTTCTTAAATTTCGGGTTTTAGAAAGAGGATAGGAGTGAGAAATGCCTGAATAACAAAAAGGAG